AATCATCATCGTGAAAGCTCATACAAAAGTTAGATTTCTTAGATAAAATCATCATTATTAACATTTAAAGATTATTTAGTTTATTAGTACTTTATGTACAAATTTCAAATTGAAAATACTGTTTTTGAATAGCCAAGATAATTTTTATGATATTCGTTTACAACCTGAGATATGAATTCTTGTTCTTATTCGTATTTGTTGAGAATAATATTATATTCTTCCACCAACTGTATGCCATTTAATTCTATGTCATTGCATCTTTTAAGCCATTTCCAGACCGAATTTATAGTTTGCGTATACTGTCCATTATGTTACGAGTATAGGAAATGTATTGAAATATTAAGGTGATTGGAAAAGTTGATTGTAGTCTTGGGAATCAAGTCATTTATTTCTCAGCTTTGAAATAATGTTAAGTATTTCTGTCGTATTCTGACTCAGTGCTCTAACATATAGACGCTTTCATATTTAACCAATGATTCAGCCATTTTATTCCTAATACTGACAGTTATACCTTGATCAAAAAATATCAACCCAAATGTTTCCTTTGTTAAATACCATAATACCGTAAATGATGGCAGAGTTTAACTAAAGCTATTTGCGACGGTTTTTCGTCTATGTTTTTGGAAAATAAGAACCATCCCAATATGCAACTGTATCAACTAAAACTTTGAAATTGATTTAAGATTAATAGTTTCTCATGTTGCATAGCTACAGTGCGAATACTTGATATGGATGACAGAATATTTTATTTTTCAAGCGAAAGGAGCTTTGTAGTTGCTTTCTTGAGTTTTGTTAATTTTGTTAAAATATTAAAGTTTATATTAAATTAAATTATATATTTATTATTATATTAAATTTAAAATTAAAATGTTAAAGTTTAGTTCACACTAAAGAAAGTGGTTATTACCGGTTGATATCAATGACTTTTATTTGAAATCATTGACGAATTTAAGTATTTGTTTAAATACACAAAAGTCTAAATCAGAAAAAGTTGAAAAAATATATTGTTTACAATTATTATAAATTCTGTACAAATAATAATAATAATATGAAATAAATTTTTGTAGATTTTTGCTGTCACAGATAAAACAAATTTAAATGATAATATTAAATACACCTAAATCGAAAGCCATCCTATGTAAAGCATTATAATACTACATATACCTATGTATATAATTAAAAGTATATTTTTATTATTATTTGAAAGAAAGAAAGAACTATTCAAAACTTAACGTTGTTCTCTATTAATTTGGAATAATATTTTCTCTGTTACCCAATACTAATGATCAACACATTTTCATGATTTTTATTCAATTATTTTAGGGTACTAAAGTGTCAAATTTCAAATTGCGTGTAAATAATTTCAACATTCAACTGGGCATCAGCACGCACTGCTTTTTAGGGAAGGATAACAGAAATCAATTTATTTTTATTGTTATTTATGGTTGCCATTTAGGCAAAAAAGTATCGAATGTTTGATAAGAAATGCGTTGAAATACGAAATATTCACAATAAATTCAATTCCCTGAACATAATTGATGGGCACACAATTCAATTGAATGAAACCACATAAGCTTAAAAGAAATGCTTAAAATGTTGCTAATAAGGATCAGCATAAAATGTATAGTATTATGTCCTTTTTTGTTAAGGAAGCCATTTTCTCTACTTATTCCTTTGCTTTTTTTTAACAGATTTCACACTCAATTTATTATTTCTTGTCTTTTTTTTTTATTGTCTACTTTCATTTTATTACTTTGTGCTTGTTCTTTATAAGATACCGAATTATATTTATTATACATATGTCCTTCCCATTGAGAATCCTGTACATGCGAAGTATGTAATCTGCATCTTATCATTCACTCTTCTTTTGTATTTCAGTTGCCAAACATCAAGTTGTTGCCTACACACAAAAGTCCCAAATTAAACATGAAAATCGACACATACAATTGGTGCGAGAATATGGATTTCATCCAAGAACGAAAGCTACCGTCGAGGATGGTGACGTTTTGCCAAAGAAATTTGAGCCATTTCCAGAAAATATGTATGGAAAACCTTTGGAAGAAATTGATAGTTTTATATACGAAGAGGTAAGTGTCTGAGCATTATGAAAATTATTCGCTTAACACTAGTTCAAGTGTTTTTCTTATAATAAATTGTGTTTATACAATACGTAGTATATAAAAGAATTATAATAACAATAACGATTAAAGTAACAGTGTTCGTGTTTTTTTAGTGAATTTAAAGCTAACTTATAAACTCAAAATTTTATTTATAAACCATTACGTTTACCTCTTGCCTATGTCATTAAACAAATTCATTTTAAAGAAATTCAATCAGTTCCTTAAACTGCATAAACAAAGATAATCATTTTTTCTTGAAGAAATTAATTTAAATGATCTATACTACTATTTAAGTGCTAATTGCGAGCTAAAATATTATTATTATTATCGTGAAAGACTTAAAAGATCTATTGTGCCCTTTAGTCTCCAAGTCCGTTTTCTTTAATGAAAGACATATAGAGCCTATCTTTCCTAGTCTTGCATCCTTATAATTCATAAAATACCCCCCTAGGTGTTATTTTCCACATGTGCATTAGTGCCGAGCACTCCCTAAGCATATAGTATGCAGTTTCTCTATATTCTTAACAGCATCTGCAGTCTGAGTTGGATTGAATTCTTAACTTCGTCAGGTGATTATTCAAGTTACAGTGACCAGTCAATAATCCCGTAACAATTCTTAGGTTTTTCTTTAATTGTTCTATGCAATCTTTGAAGCGTTTTAGATTAATAGTCCCTAAAAGCATTTTAGATTATGATAGTCATGGTAGCTTTTCCCAATAGAGTTCTCTTTTTTCCTGTTCGCCGTTCAAGTAGTTTAAGTAGTTCTGGCAATTGTCTTATAAAAACCACATCGTTAAAAAAAAGATCTGATTTCATCACTCTTTTAAACGCAGCCCAAAGATTTTCGTTTGAATTTCTAAACAGCTAATATTAGAACAAAGCTGACAAACTATGTCTGTATTTCAAATTAAAAATACTGTTTTTAAATGGCCAAGATAGTTTTTACGATATTCGTTTACAACCTGAAATATGAATTCTTGCTCTTATTCCTGTTATATATTTTTGTTCGGATTAGCAGTAAGAAAAGTTAATTGTACTTCCATCTGATTCTGTTTTTCGCCAAAATCATAAGCTCAATCCACGTTTTTCCGGACGTATCGATTTCCTTTTGCAATGTTCTTTTGCATGTGTTGTTATAACGTCCACTCTTGTGACTGCCTTGAGGGTTCCAAACAAAAGCTTGTCGACAAAAATTAATTTTTTTTTCCTGTAAAGCAATTTACACGATTTCGAAATCGTTTAAATTAAAATAGTATATAGTAAAGCTGCCAACTCTACTATTCAGAAGCTGCAAGTTGCTCAAAGTCAGGCTCTCCGAAGACACTTCAATATGCCTTGGTACATTCGCACAAATGACATGCTAAGAGACTATAGAATAGAGTCGGTCAAAAAATACTTTAGGGACAGAACCCTGAACCTATTCGCTAAAACCGAAAGGCTACCCTACTTAGCACTATCCAATCTAAAAATAACCTCTACCCTCACGGGACGGTACGCAGATCTTAGATGACTCATCGAATAAACACGAAGCTTTTGCGGAATACATGAACTGATCAGTGAGAAGGGTGTGACTCTGCAGAAACTCCCCAGATATCAAAGAGTAAAAATGCCCAAATGCCCTAACTCGAAAACGCTCAACATGAACAAAAAAAAAAATACTTAAGAACCTGTTTAACTAAAAGCCAATATTTCGTTTATATTATTCTTTTATTATAGCAAACTGTTTAATAAATCACAACACTTCAAAATTTTTAGATTCTCAAACTTTCATCATAATTATATAAAGTACAAATGTTTAAATTATGTAGATGCTCTTATTTAATACATTAGATGAAGCTTAATTTTTATAATTGCAATAAAGATCTTATATTTTATAAAAAAAATTCGTTTACATTTTGCTACCAATGAGTCTAATTTAGTCCATCTGATTATTTTACAAAAATTGAATTTTACAGCTAACCCTGAAATCAATGTACATACAGAGCTTGTTCGAAACCCCACATGAGATCTATTTATTTTAATATATCGTTACAATAATCAAATCAATTTAAACTAATATTTTTCTTTTTAATTAAATTTAAAATTGTATAGATTCTCGAAGATATATTAAATTTTACAGAAGTAAAATATCAATTTTAGTTCATATAAAATTTTACTGCAAAAGAACAAAGCTCATAACTTGCTTTCATTTGAACTAAAATATGCAATTTATATTATATATTATATATCAGAGAAGATGTGCAGCCAATCCTGCTCAACTGTTCAACTGCAGAGCTCTGTCGTCATTTCTTATAATCTCAAACCTGCATTTGGTGAGTCCTCGTGCTTCGTCTATTTTCAACAAAATATCAAAAATTCTTAGACATTTGCCTCAACTCGGGCAGAAACAATACAATGCTATTGTTAATATTTGCGACGTTGCTGGTTTTTATTTGTGAGCAACATCAAGAACATCAGCAACAAACAAACGACATGTTACACGGCAAGTGACAGCTGCAATCAAATATTTTGCTGGCTCACTTGTTTGTTGGGGAAGATTTATGTGCATTTCTAAATTGTTGTGTTTGGAGCTGATTGCATTGCAACGAAAAAGAAAATTATTTATGGTATGAAAATGCCAGTGTAAACAAAAACATAAAGAAAATAAATTTTTTTATTTAATTAAAATTGTAAGTGAAACAAATGAATGCACGCAGGAGTGTGTGTGACACAAAACATTTACTTTTATTAAATCTGGGAAAATTACTAACTACTAAAACTGTTTTGCTTGGGATTGAATCAGTTCACAATCATTGCGAATAAATAGATTTTTAATGTATCTTCTAGTTTTATTTAAAAACTTGTTTCATACTACATTGAAACGCTACAGTATTTAATTCAACAAAAAAAAAGAACGAGATTACAAAATGTTTTACAGAATATGATTAAGTTGGATAAATTTATGACGAATATGTGTAACTGCAAAAGGTCAATGTTGCCTTATAATGTCGGTTAACAGATAAACGATTTAGATTAGATTAGATTTTTTATTTTAAAAATGGGTTGCGAACTTGTCACCACGTCACCGCATCTTTTGAGGATTTTTGTGACATACCCACTTCAGTTCTATAGACGAATAGCAGTTAAGAAAGCCATTATATCCTTTGGAGAAATGTTGCCTAATTCCGTTATAAGTTGATAGGCAGTTGATAAGTACCGAAGTCTGAGTCTGGAGAGACTAACACAGTGATACAGAATGTGTTCTGCTTCTTCCTCTTCTTCGCAACAAAGTCTACCGCTATCGTCTCCAGTAATACCTAGGTTCGATAGATGCATTTTTACTCCACAATGTCCAGTGAAAAACCCTGTGACAATACGGATACCACTTCTGTTCAGCATAAGTAGCTCCCTAGTTCTGGCTTTTGATCGATACGGCATGGATTTTTTGGCTTGTCTGTAAGCTATTGTATTATCCTAATCAGTCTGAGCTGCTCTTTCCAGCCACTCATTGATTTTAAGTTTGAAAAAGCTCCATGTAGAACCGCAGAATGGTTTAGGCTCAATATAATATCAGGGCGCTCCTTTTCTCGCTAGTTCATCTGCTTTTTCGTTTCCCTCAAATTCGCTGTGCCCTGGGATCCATATTAAGTGAACACTGTTCTTTTAAGCAAGATCTTTGAAAAGTAGAAAGCATTCCCACACTAATTAAGAGGTTACTTTAGGTGAGCGTAGTGCTAGGAGTGCCGATTTACTGTCAGAGAAAATATATATGGTTTTACCAGTGATGGGTTTCTTTTTATATATTCTAAGACATAGTTCAATTACGTGTTCTTCAGCCTGAAAAACTGAGTTTTCTTGACTCATATTCGCAAATATTTTCTCTTTTGGTTTAACTCCGTAGAACGGATGTAGATGACCACACATAACTATCTATCTAACAATCTAAATAATAAAAAAATAATATTAAAGTACTTTAAAGAAAAATTCGTTTTGTTCGAATTTCATTGCAAATCGAAACTAAA